GTACTTTATAAAACTCGGCAGGTATAATGTGAGCGGTAACTGATGAGCTTCTGTTAAGCCTTTTGTTTTTAAAACATATCGTATTTTTAGTAAAGTAAAATATATGTTCGGTAATAAACGCGACTGTTAAATGCATCTGCGTTAAAATAATTACGAAGTTGTAAGTTTCGCTCGAAAACCGGCGGCCTCGTAAGATTCTACTTTTATTTTAGCTTTTATTTGGCAAATTCAGTCAAGCTGTATTGCAATACACGTATGTATTGGATACAAAAAGCTTATTATTTATAAGAAAAATCTCTATAACATTAGAATAGGTAAACACTAAAATTCTGTAAAAAAATTTATTCATATAGGTAACACAATATACACTTATGAACGTCATAAAATAAATATATATTAAATGCTTCTAATTTTACATTTACTGCCAGTTCTCAAATCAAGGGCGTAGAACGGAAGAGAAGAACTGGCAATAAACTCTCCGCCACTCTTTTTAATAGCCAAGTTTTTTGTTTTACACCATATTGTCACTTTCTGAGGCAAAGATTTAAAAAAAAAAAAAAAAAAAAAAAAAAAAAAAAAAAAAAAAAAAAAAAAAAAAAAAAAAAAAAAAAAAAAAAAAAAAAAAAAAAAAAAAAAAAAAAAAAAAAAAAAAAAAAAAAAAAAAAAAAAAAAAAAAAAAAAAAAAAAAAAAAAAAAAAAAAAAAAAAAAAAAAAAAAAAAAAAAAAAAAAAAAAAAAAAAAAAAAAAAAAAAAAAAAAAAAAAAAAAAAAAAAAAAAAAAAAAAAAAAAAAAAAAAAAAAAAAAAAAAAAAAAAAAAAAAAAAAAAAAAAAAAAAAAAAAAAAAAAAAAAAAAAAAAAAAAAAAAAAAAGGGGGGGGGGGGGGGGGGGGGGGGGGGGGGGGGGAAAAAAAAAAAAAAAAAAAAAAAAAAAAAAAAAAAAAAAAAAAAGGAAAGAAAGGGGGGGGGGGGGGGGGGGAGAAAAAAAAAAAAAAAAAAAAAAAAAAAAAAAAAAAAAAAAAAAAAAAGGGGGGGGGGGGGGGGGGGGGGGGGGGGGGGGGGGGGGGGGGGGGGGGGGGGGGGGAAAAAAAAAAAAAGGGGGGGAGGAAGAAAGGAAGGGAAGAAAAAAAGGAAAAAGGAAGGGGGGGGGGGGGGGAAGGGGGAAGAAAAAAAAAAAAAAAAAAAAAAAAAAAAAAAAAAAAAAAAAAAAAAAAAAGGAAAGGGGGGGGGGGGAGGGGAAAAAAAAAAAAAAAAAAAAAAAAAAAAAAAAAAAAAAAAAAAAAAAAAAAAAAAAAAAAAAAAAAAAAAAAAAAAAAAAAAAAAAAAAAAAAAAAAAAAAAAAAAAAAAAAAAAAAAAAAAAAAAAAAAAAAAAAAAAAAAAAAAAAAAAAAAAAAAAAAAAAAAAAAAAAAAAAAAAAAAAAAAAAAAAAAAAAAAAAAAAAAAAAAAAAAAAAAAAAAAAAAAAAAAGGAGAAAAGGGGGAGGGGGAGGGGGGGGGGGAAGAAGGGGGGGGGGGGGGGGGAGAAAAAAAAAAAGAAAAAAAAAAAAAAAAAAAAAAAAAAAAAAAAAAAAAAAAAAAAAAAAAAAAGAAAAAAAAAAAAAAAAAAAAAAAAAAAAAAAAAAAAAAAAAAAAAAAAAAAAAAAAAAAAAAAAAAAAAAAAAAAAGAAAAAAAAAAAAAAAAAAAAAAAAAAAAAAAAAGAAAAAAAGAGGAGAAAAAAGAAAAGAGAGGGGGGGGGGAGAGAGAGAGGAAGGGAGAGGAGAAAAAAAAAAAAGAAAAAAGGAAAAAAGAAGGAGGAAAAAAAAAAAAAAAAAAAAAAAAAAAAAAAAAAAAAAAAAAAAAAAAGAGGGGGAGAGAGAGGAAGGAAGAAGAGGGAGAGGGAAAAAAAAAAAGAGGGAGGGGGGGGGGGGGGGGAAAAAAAAAAAAAAAAAAAAAGAAAGAAAAAAAGAGAAAGAGGGGGGGGGGGGGGGGGGGGGGGGGGGGGGGGGGGGAGGGGGGGGGGGGGGAGAGGGGAGAGGGGAAGAAAAAAAAAAAAAGAGGGGAGAAAAAAAAAAAGGAAAGGGAAGAGAGGGGGAGGGGGGGGGGGGGGGGGGGGGGGGGGGGGGGGGGGGGGGGGGGGGGGGGGGGGGGGGGGGGGGGGGGGGGGGGGGGGGGGGGGGGGGGGGGGGGGGGGAAAGGAGGAAAGAAGAGAAAAAAAAAAAAAAAAAGAAAAAAAAGAAAAGAAGAGAAAGGAAAAGAAAAAAAGAGGGAGAAGAAAAAGAAAAGAAAAAAGAAAAAGAAAAGGAGAAGAGGGAGAGGGGGGGGGGGGGGAGGGGGGGGGGGGGGAGGAGGAGAGGGGGGGGGGGGGGGAAGAGAGGGGGGAGAAGGGGGGGGGGGGGGGAAGAGAGGGGAGAGGGAGGGGGGGGGGGGGGGGGGGGGGGGGGGGGGGGGGGGGGGGAGGGGAAAAAGAGGAGAGAAGAAGGAGAGGGGAGGGGGGGGGGGGGGGGGGGGGGGGGGGGGGGGGGGGGGGGAGGGGGGGGGGGGGGGGGGGGGAGGAAAGGGAGAAGGGGGGGAGGGGGGGGGGGGGGGGGGGGGGGGGGGGGGGGGGGGGGGGGGGGGGGGAAAAGAGAGGAAAAAGAGAAGAGAGAGGGGGGGGGGGGGGGGGGGGGGGGGGGGGGGGGGGGGGGGGGGGGGGGGGGGGGGGGGGGGGGGGGGGGGGGGGGGGGGGGGGGGGGGGTTTGTTAGAGAAAGAAAGAGAGGGGGGGGGGGGGGGGGGGGGGGGGGGGGGGGGGGGGGGGGGGGGGGGGGGGGGGGGGGGGGGGGGGGGGGGGGGGGGGGGGGGGGGGGGGGGGGGGGGGGGGGGGGGGGAGCGCGCGACCACATAAATATATATAAAAAAAAAAAAAGAAAAAAAGGGAGAGGGGGGGAAAAAAAAAAAAAAAAAAAAAAAAAAAGAAAAAAAAAAAAAAAAAAAGAAAGAAGAAGGGGGGGGGGGGGGGGGGGGGGGGGGGGGGGGGGGGGGGGGGGGGGGGGGGGGGGGGGGGGGGGGGGGGGGGGGGGGGGGGGGGGGGGGGGGGGGGGGGGGGGGGGGGGGGGGGGGGGGGGGGGGGGGGGGGGGGGGGGGGGGGGGGGGGGGCGGGGGGGGGCCCGCCCGCCCCACCCCCCCCCGGGGGGCCCCCCCCGGACAATTATATAGAGGGGGGGGGGGGGGGGGGGGGGGGGGAAAAAAAAAAAAAAAAAAAAAAAAAAAAAAAAAAAAAAAAAAAAAAAAAAAAAAAAAAAAAAAAAAAACACCCCCCCACCAAAAAAAAAAAAAAACACACAAAAAAAAAAAAAAAAAAAAAAAAATATATATATATATAATTAAGAGAAAATTTTTTTATATTTTTTTCCCCCCCCACCGCGGGCCCCACCCCCCCCCCCCCCGGGGGGGGGGGGGGGGGGGGGGGGGGGTTTTTTTTCAATACCCAAAGGGGGGGGGGAGGGAGGGGGAAAAAATTTTGGCGGGGGGGGGGGGGGGGGAGAAAAAAACCCCCCCCCAAAAAAATTTTTTTTTTTTTTTTATTTAAAAAAAGGGGGGGGGGGGGGGGGTTTTAAAAAAATTTTTTTTTTTTTTTTTTTTTTTTTTTTTTTTTTTTTTTTTTTTTTTTTTTTTTTTTTTTTTTTTTTTTTTTTTTTTTTTTTTTTTTTTTGGGGGGGGGTTTTTTTTTTTTTTTTTTTTTTTTTGGGGGGGGGGTTTTTTTTTTTTTGTGGGGTTTTTTTTTGTGGGGGGGGTGTTTTTTTTTTTTTTTTGGGGGAATTAGGTTTTTAAACCTAAGATTTTAGTATGTTGTACCAACAATAACACTGAGTCGCTTTGTGATTTTTTTTGCAAATGTAAACAGTTAAAGATCAATTAAAGACTAAAAATTTGTTACGCTTTTGACCTTGAAATATAAGACAGTGTTAAAGAATACGGCGATCTAACTAATAAATCTTGAGTGAATCCCCTTGATTCAAGGTTATTTGAGAGAGCTCTTCGATTTAGCTTTTCAAGCAAATGCTAAATTACTAACGCCACTCGTTTCTTTTGCTTGGGTCAACAAGGCGGTCTAAAAGCGAGCGCGTTCGATCAAAAAGATAAGGCACAGCACTTAACCAGCTTAAGTAGACCTTCAATCAAGTATGTCACTTTCATTTTTTTGCTATTTTAGTAACAGATTAGTTTCCGTTACCGCAGATACTTTAAGGAGATCTTAGGATCAACGACAATTATTGTTTCAATGTAGGTTTCGGGAGTTGGTCACTTGATGGCCTTTAAAAATAAGAACCTAATAACGCAGTCGCAGAATCGCCCCCTGGCCAACGTCTGGAATTAAAGTACTCCAAATCAAATTATAACTGTATACAGTCGTTCCTACATTTATATAAATTTATTTTATTATTAATATTATATTACATACTATTGCTAAATATGCAACATATGATTTAAATATTTCGATGAAATATATTAAAGTAATGTACGTGTACCTTTTACTTTGTGTAGGTACCTACGTTCATTCGTTTTCTTTTGTTGAATCCTAAATCGGGCTTTGAAGTCTATACAATAAAACTAAAACTGTTTTTTTCTTCACTCTGTGACATGGTTTCAATTTGTCTGAAGGTTAGGAAAGATTGGCTACCAACTGAATTTGACCTTAGGTATTGACCTACGGTCTATTGAAAAGAACGAAAACTTATGTCTGTGTACATACAAATTATTAAAATATTGCTTATATTAAACTCGAATCTTGTATATTTAATGAACTATGTATACTTCATATCGGCTTTTGTGCCTGAACATGCACCCCTAATGGTGAACAGGTTTTACCTAGGATATTTTAACTATGATAAAATTCAACTCCATGTATATTGTCTATGAGTGCCATTGACGCATATGAAATATTATTTTTTTCTATTCTGTCAATTGATTGCGTATTATGTTTAAAATTATTGAATAACATTCATTTTCAGAATATCTACCTCAACTCAAATGAATTCAAATTGCTATGAATCGAGCCTGTAATTTGCTAACAAACATTATTGCGGTTATAATATTATCCAGCACGGGAACAATAATCATGGGAAACAATATTTACGATTGGAAAATCATAGAAACATTGGCAGAGAGGCATCCATACATTGTGGCTTTATTGAATAACACAAAGAATTATGCATGCACAGGGGTTATAATAGATCATCGTTCTATTTTGACGTCTGGAGCCTGTGTACACCCCGAGCCTTTGTACGTTGCAGTTGGAAGCGCCATAGCAGGTCAAAGGACAAACGACAATAACATCTTCAAAATTGCGTATACAAAAGCACACGAAGATTTCTTTTTCGAATTAGGGAGGAATTATAACGTCACACGTATGCACAGCAACATCGCTCTCGTTTTTACTGTGAAGCCTGTCTTATTGTACTTTTGTGAGAGCGCAATTTTGGGGAACTACTTTGAATCGGAATTGAAGGATAAAAAACTATCTACTACGGGGTACGGTGAGCTTAGGAACGCGTTGACAGTATTACAACACCAACGGTACAGGCAGGTAGCGTGTACAAACCCAAAATGGTATTACTGCATTTGTGGGATAGAATCGTCTGTGGATACGACATACGATCTATATTTCGGCGAAGGTGGGCCAGTGTTTTATGGTGATGAAGTAATTGGTATATCATCATTTCCGTCCGGTTTAATGAGACTGAAAGATGACGTCAGGTACAACGTGTTCACAGTTATAAGCCCGTATTTAGAATGGATAAAAAAGCAACAGAGGAATGAATTTCCTGAATTTCGACACAATGGATATAATAAATGTAAACACAATGTTCATGTTGTATTTTTAATCGCTATTAAATTAATTTTGTGGAAATATTGTGCCAGTTATTACTTTAATAACATATCCTATCTCTTTATGTATATGTCGCAGCCAACTAGCTTAATCAGCCGTTAAATTAACAGCCTAGCCTTTTAACTAAACAGCTCCGTTCAACTAGCGGCCTGAAAGATATTCAGCCGCATCGTTTGTTACAATAATTAATAAACTGGCTGGCTAATGCTTAGGCCATTCGTACGATAGAGTAATTCTAGAATATGTATATGTGCAAGTAATGGAACGTCATTGATCCAAGTTATTTGCCTTGCTGTTTGATCAACTAGCTGAATATCTTTCAGGCCGCTAGTTAAACGGCGCTGTTTAGTTAAAAGGCTAGACTGTTAATTGAACGGCTGATTAAGCTACTTGTCTGTGACATATATACCATTCTGCAAGCGCCAAATAATGATGTTAATAGGTAACTAATATATGTTTCCTTATTGAATCATAAATAATCTTTACCCAAGTTAATGGGATTATTAATCTAATCGATTCGTTAATATTGAAATGAAAATAAGCTAAACATAACTTTCTTGTCCGATTTTAATTGACTTTTTCATTTGGAATTTGTATTCAACTCTTCATATACTTATCAGGTAAGCGATTGAATAATTGAAAAATAAATATTCTTAAGTTACGTCAGACAATATTATTAAACAATTACTATACCAGCGGCTAACCTTTGACTTACGCAGCGATAAGAAACAAAAGATTTGATATTAGTTAAGTGAACGACGTTGTGAAGCAGTAGTAAATATAGAAATGAATAATTTAAAGGTTTTCGTGAGGGGAATGTCACAAATGAAGAAGTGGGAACCTTTGAAACAAGTGGGTGTAGTTGGAGTGCCTTTCGAGAAAGGTCAAAAAAAGTATGGTGTTAGTATTGCTCCCGCTGCAATGAGGTCTGCGGGACTTATAGAACAACTTAAGGAAATTGGTAAATATTTTTTATTTCGCTTTTACCCGACAGTTGTATGAGCTTTGATGAAAGGGTGAGATGAAGGGTTCCACTTAAAAGTGAAATGTTCCTGAGCTTCATAATTACTATTATTATCTTTTCGTATTTACTGTGAAGCCTGTCTTGTACTTTACTAAGAGCGCAAGTTTGGAGAACTACCTTTGTTCTACTTTTCGTAGAGTTAAAAAGGTTACTAAGGTTAAAACCCGATCAAAATTTTAAGATTCTTGTTAAAATTATTATTTATTCTTATTTGCGGACATTATTAGCGGATTATCTAAGAATTGCATAAACAGCTTTTTCTATAATCCATCGTAACTTATGATTTCAAGTGATAAGTTTATGAAAATTCAGATGGCCTCAACGTCAAAGACTATGGAGATATAGAAATACCAGCGTGTCACGAAAACGCGAATGTCGATAACATGGCGTACCTGTCGCTTGTGTCCGCTTGTAACAAGAGCTTATCGAGCAAGGTGACGCAAGTACTTAAAGATGGAAGACTCGCTGTAACCATCGGTGGAGACCATTCTATAGGAGTAGGTAATATCATAAATTTATTCACTGAAGTATTACAAACCAATTCGACTTAGGGTCCTTCAAGAAAAGAGCATACCAATTTTTAAAAGGCAGCGCACTTTCGAGTATTGAGAGTGTCCATCAGCGGCAATATCATTTAACATTAGATGAGCCTCCTTCCCGTTTGTGTTCTATAAAGAAAATGTATATTATGATATATTTGATTTTCACTTTCCACTGAAAGTACCTACTGCAAATATTATGAATGTTTAAGACTTTTTTACAATAATTTCTAAAGCATAAAATTTAGGAGTTATATAACTGAGTATCTCGGCGATACATTTTGCTATTATGCAAGGACCTCATAGTTTTTTATTAGAAACCAATACGTGGGCAGTAGCGCCCCCGCAAATTTTATTCTTATCTTGTCCTTTTCTTCAAAGCGTCCTTCGCTTTACATTTATTTGCTTTTAATATAAATGCTTGTCATTATTATGACACTAGCTGGTGCCCACGACTTCGTCTGCGCAGGATTAAAATAATATTTGTCCAAATGATGTAGCGTGAAAGACATATTATTATATCTACTTTAAACACCAGAAGCGATAAAGGTATCTATTTCCATAGTAATCAATTTAATACTACCAAATTTGCATTAGAAATAAATTGTCAATTTTTATTGTAGTTATGGTTCACTATTGTGGATATAATGGCTTACACATAAGACATCGATATAAACTATGGCGGGCTTTTTTGTAGAACTATTTAAGATAAACATTTCCATCATACATTACATATCTGTAACTCTAGCGGTTTTGGCAGCGCACGCCAGAATAGCTCGGAGATGGTAGATTTTTTCCTACATACTTGATATTTTGGACAATTATTCACACAATGCAATTATAAATTGTAGCCTATGTGTTATTCTGAGCAGTGTTGGCCTAGTGGCTTCAGTGTGCGACTCTAAGGTCGTAGGTTCGATGCCCGGCTGTGCACCAATGGACTTTCTTTCTATGTGCGCATTTAACATTCGCTCGAACGGTGAGGGAAAACATCGTGAGGAAACCGGCTTGCCTTAGACCCAAAAAGTTGAGCGTCAGGCACAGAAGGCTGATCACGTACTTGCCTATTAGGCCCGGCGCTCATTATCGGCATTGGCAAGAAAAGGGATCCTTCGGCATTCCTACATGCAAGCGCACACTGTCGGAAACTGTGTTTTGGCATGCTGCAACGTTCTTACGGATGACGAGGCGTCCTTAAGCATGCGGTACCGTCCTCAAGCCTGCCGTAGCGTCTCAATATCTATAATAGTGTTGCCTCGGCGCCGGCGGCGCGGCGGGCGAAGGAGTACCGAAGGATCCCGAAATATCCCGAAGCAGCCCCAAAGCTGCCGGATGCAGGAGCCTCAAGCTTACCGGAGCGGTATTTTTGTTACTACGATCATATATCATGGAAATGTCTACTTTATTGCCATGAAGTTAATGTATAATGCTTTTTATCACCTAAAATCCTCAGCCGTTCCTATGCCGATAATGAGCGCCGGGCCTTAGATTAACAAATGATCATGAAACAAATCCAGAAATCTGAAGCCCAGACCTAAAGAGGTTGTAGCGCTATTGATTCTTTTATTTTTATATGTTATTCTGATTTATAAGCTATATTCTTGTAAAGTTTCATAAAATCCATTCAGTAGTTTTTACGTGAAAAAGTAAGAAACATCCATACTTACAAACTTTTGCGTTTATAGCATTAGTAGGATTATTTCATTTCATCACAAGCCATCCGACCCTTGATAATGATTTAAAAGAAACGTCTATCGTATTGTAGTGAGTCCCTTGTTTGTACCCAATCAGACGGTTTTGGCGACAGTACTTACAAACACTGCTTTACTCTATTGGGGTCTAATGTATCACACACGCACATTTATCGTTGACATATTATGTCACAATAATAATACCTTATTCGAAATAAATATAAAAAAAATTCTCTACAAAAATAGGTTGCAAAAATATCATGCCAGAAATGATGGAAAGCCGCAAGGGCAGCATCAGAAAGTGACGTATCTTTAAAAGATCGGCATGACGAAGCTAGCTGAAACCGCGTCATTCTCGAGCTGACATTCCATTATCGAGCTACCTGACTCGGTGTACATAAGTGCTGACTCATATATTGAGGGCATCATACAAGTAATTACTAAGACATCGTGTACAAACTACAAACATATTTCAATTAATATTAAAGATTCCGTAACAAAGGATACAAAAACTTCGACATTTATTCTACACTTTCGAAAACTCTGAAATTTAAAATACGTCGTTTTAATCTCATCTATGAAGTAATTGATCAAGCAAAATTATAATATTTTATTTGATTAATTAATATAATATAAGTCGTAAATTTATCTCAATTAATGATATAAAGTTATCGAAACGGCTGGTTTTAATAGAGTTGAGTTACTTTCAATAGAGTTTAACTAATATCATTTTCCTAAGCAATTTTGTTCACGTTAAACCAATCCCTGTCGCATCAATATTTGGCACGTGACTCTTCGCCCTTCGAATCCTTTTAAAATATCTCCTAGTCACTGAACCTCTATAAGCGTTTCGACTCTTTAGGTTAAGTAACAATCGATGTAAATATTCGAAATTTAAATTCCATTGAGACAAAATTTTGTTTTCGGACGGCCCTTTGCGTCTGCTAAAATACCCCGAAAATAGTTATAATAGGGTTCGACAACACCTCGTATACATTTTCTCTCACTTTGTCCTCACTCTTTTTATACCAAAGCTAACATTGCTGCTAATTCTAATGATTCAAGTCCTAAGTTAATTATAATTAACTTAATACATTTAATGATTAATGATTAACCGTATGTGCATTGATAAATTGCTACATTGATAAACCATGTTTTAAAAGTGCATATTACCTGCTGCCTTGAAATTTCTAGATATTCTAGATTGCTTCGTTATGTATGGAGAGCTTTTCCGATAATAACTATTTTATTTCAAAGGTACCGTGGATGGGCACTTTAATGTGAACGAAGATATGATCCTGATATGGGTGGACGCGCACGCAGACATCAATACAAACAAAACGTCAGAGTCAGGTTCAGTCCACGGCATGCCTGTGGCGTTGCTTGTTAAGGAACTTTCAGACTATTGGCCTTACCTGCCTACTATGGATTGGCAGGTTCCAAAGTAAATATAATATTGGATAAGTTTACTAACTTACATTGGAAATAAAAGACGAAATTACGTATTAAAAAAAAATCAGTGGGGCTACAACCTCTTTAGGTCTTGGCCTCAGATTTCTGAATCTTTTTCATGATCATTTTTAAATATAATAGGCAACACAACGTACTAACACACGCCATCGACTTTTGGGTGTAAGACATGTCGGTTTCCTCATGATGTTTTCCTTGTATGTTCCTTTAACATTTTTTATGTGAACTTAACATTCGCACATAGAAAGAAAGTCCATTGGTGGACAGCCGGGGATCGAAACGACGACCTCACGTATGAAGCCACTAGACCAACACTGCTCTCAATTTAATGTAATATCTATATATTTTCTTAAGGAAATTCTTGTACGCGTCACGTAC